CCCCCACCCACTGCTGCTTCCCTTGCCCACCACTTCCTGCCATTTGTCCCACCCGCTGCCACTTCCCATCGCTGTTCCCACCTGCTGCCACCACTTCTCACATGCCCGCAGCCACTCTGGCTCCAGCCTGTCCCAGCCAGCACCATGCAGTTCCCACCTGTGTCGGCTCATTGCAGCAGTTTCCCCCCGTCCTCCATCTGATCTTATCTGACTTTCCACTCGGACAGTGGGAGGGTAGGGAACAGCCAAAGAGACACCAGGCCAGAAGCCACAGAGGCTTCCAGTTGGGGGGGTGGGGGACTGGATTCTGGGGGCGGGGCATAGCCTGGGGGCCCTTGCTGCTCAGCTGCTGGGTCCTGCCGCCAGCTCCTCTTGGGTCCTGCTGCCTCTGGCACCTTGTCATCTTTGACAGACAGTGACACGCAGATAATAATTAATTTTCTAAATTGTTTAGGGACCCCACAGGACAGACAAAATGGCCTGGTGGGCCAGATCCAGCTCACAGACCATATTTTGCCTGCCTCTGATTTACACTATAAAACCCTATTTCCAGAGATTATAACTAAACTGTAAACATCACTCTGTGGTGAAGCCTAAGAAGGAATGTTGCATTTTAAAAGTAATTTTAATTTCTTAAAATAAAGAGAGTGATAAATTAATGTATCATTTGCAAAAGGTGCTAGATAGACAACTTCCAGTGCACAGGTATAGCAACAAACTGGGTGTGTCTACATGAGATGCTTTACTGTGTAGTAAAGTGTCACTATGCAACTGTGCGTGGAGCTACTGTGTAGTAAAATAGGCTAATGCGCAGTAAAATTACTACTTGTATTTATAGGTATGAGATTTACTGTACATTAGCTAATGCACAGTAGCACATGTAGACACTGACCAGGAGCAAATTTGCTCCCAGTCAGCCAGACCAGCAGGGAGCCAGCCTCCTGCCAGGGGCAGAGCAACGTGGGTGGGAGTCCCTCCAGCCATGGGGCAGGGATGGCTCTTTAGCAGTAAGGGTGATCAGAATCTGGAATAAAATTCCCAAGGATGTGGTGCAGTCCCCAACCTTGGAAATCTTCAAGAGGAGACTGGACAGACATTTTGCTGGGATCCTTTGATCTCAGCAGTATTCCTCCAGAACAGGTGGGTTGGACTTGATGGTCTTTTGAGGTCCCTTCTAGCCCTTAATTTCTATGATTCTATGTCTGCCCCTGGCCACTGTGTGCTGATGTGGTAGTCACATGCTGGTTGGAGCAGGTTGTAGAGCCCCAGCCTGACCCCTAGGCTTCTGCCAGCTGCTCCCTGGCCCTGGATACAATGCCCCTATTCTGCAGGCATGTGCTGGCTCCAGCAGTCCCTCAGGCCATCATGTACAAGTGGGAAAGGGACAAGGAGGACTGTGCCTTCCCTCAAGGAGAGGCACATTGCCCTCCTTGAGAAGATCCTAGAGGTGTACGAGAAGCAGACTGCTGTGGTGGCCTAGGCAGTGAAGGCCATGGAGGAGGACTGCTGGGTACTGGATACCATCCTGGCCCTGGTGATCACCTTCATGCTGCCCACTGCCCAGCCCCCACCTGGCAGCCACCCACTGCTGAGCCACAAGCCCTGCCCCCAGCCCTAGCTCAACCTGCTGCCTGGAAGCCACCTGCGGCCCTGCACCAAGCCCCCCAGTGGGCCTGGAAGGAGGTCCAGCAGTGCCTGGAGCAGCCAGGTCCCCTGCCCCTGCTCCCAAGCTGGGTTCCCTAGTAGCCAGGCCACCCACCTGGACTGCTGCCCACCACTTACCTGCCTGCCATGTGGTCTCTCAGTGAGAGATGGTCCCCAATGGCTGGACAGTGCCTGCCCTCACCCCTGGCTGAGCTGCTGGGCCACTGGCCTTGCTGCAGTGTCTGTACCTTCAGTGGTGCTGCCAGAGGCTGGGGTGCCAGGTGCCTCTTCCCAGGCTCTATGCCATAGGCATCTCCAGCCCACCATTCCCCCCAACACTGCACCAATCACACTCTTATAAATAGTTGCACGGGGAAGAGAGTATTTTATTCATGGTGGGTGTTGGGGTTCAGGGTGGGGGCTCTTGCTGCAGAGGGAGGTTGGGAGGGAGTGTGCTATGGTAGAGGGAAATAAAATGGTGACTGGAAACTGTCCAAAGTGCATGTGGTCTTGAGGGCGCACTGTGGGCCTGGGGTTTGTGGGCAGCTGCCTAGGCACCCTATTGTGGTGGGGTGGTAGAGGAGGTGGTCTGCAAGTGCTTTGTGGACATGGTGCCTTGTCTGCAGCTGCGGAGGAGGGCGGCCAGGGAGCATCCATGGCACACTCACCACAGGCTCCCGGGACAATAGCCCTGGCCAGGCTGAGCCTGCCCCCCCTGGAGACCCCTGCCAGGCTGAGCCTGAGCCTGTCCCCCTCCCCCACCCCCACAGATCCCTAGCACCCAGGCAACTGCATCCAGAGTCTGCAGCTCCCCCTGGCTGCTGCAGAAGGTCAGCAAGGCAGGAGCAGGCCTAGATCTGCTTAATCCTACAAGAAGCAAATCTGCTCCCAACAGGGTACACATGTAGACATCTTCCCAGGGCTGGCTTACTGCACAGTAAATTACTACACAGTGGGTAGTGCACTGT